AGTCACTCTTAGGGTTTAAAGGGTTAAGAAAGGGGAATGCTTGTTAGTTGGGGGGATCAGGTGATAAGCTATGAATACCACAAAAAATGAAGCCATTTAATGAAGATTGGAGCTGTTTCATATGCCACAAGGTCAACCCCAACTCCACTTCTATAATGCTCTTCCTTTTGCCAGAGCCTACCATATTTGAACATAGTTGTTGATTCATAAGTTTCCCTACATATTAATTGAAAATTTCTCCAAGTGATTGGTATGATTCCATACAGTTTGATGTGTTAAATATATCTAATAACATCCAAGATTGTATCTATTGCTTGGGTTCCACTATACCACAAGAGATTGAGAACACACCTGTTGAAGTTGCACATGCAAGTTGTCCCCGAGAATCTAATGCAACTGCTCCTACGGTGTCAAATCCCTGTGAACTTCCAGTACTATCTGTTTGTTTTGAATTCCCAGAAATAAAATCTTCAACTGTTCCCACATAATTTGCTGCATCAACTGAGCGTTCATGTGATTCAGCTGTGACAAGCACTAATGGATCCTCAACAACAGGAAATCCAATCTTCTTAGCAAACTTTAAAGCTCCTTCCCCAGCTAGCAAGCAATGAGGAGTATCCTCCATAACACGTCGTGCAAGAGAGACAGGGTTGGCTATGGCTTGAACACAAGCAACTGCTCCTGAAATTTAATTTGGAATGCATGAAAATTAGCATTTGTTTAATGAACATACTGGTGCTTCACTGTCACAGCTTATCTCAGCTTCTATGAAATGAAATGACTGGACAGCCAATACTCCTTGGAAATTTTCATTTGAATTGTCAAGGTTTCCAGACAGTCTATTACCACCTTTTTACAACATCTGAGTCAAAACTTAATTTTTGTTTTTTCAAAGCTTGCCAGAATCCTGAATTACATTATAAAGCCCAAGTTTTTAATTTTGATTTGAGAATTTAGTTTTACGTAACAAATTTTTACAACGTATTATCCAAAAAAGTCTTGCACGTCTTGAAACTCAATTCAGCCTTGTGTCACGCTAAGCGAAAATCAAGGCGAAATAGGAGTGCTACGAAAAATCGCGACCAGATAAGTAATAACGTACCAAAAACACAGGGATATGTTACGGAGACGGCGAACCAATTTAACCGCTGATCTTGATTATAATTGTCTATACTGTCTCGTAAACTGAAATCAATAAACTAAGAGAAACTAGTGTAAGAACGCGGGTGGCGATTAAAAACTGAAAATAACTGAGAGAAGCCTACGCGACGCAGTTAACGTGTGATAATAAAGGAAATACCAAAATGTACCTAATGAGCTTGCCCCGAAATTACAATAACAGAACACTTAAATTTCATAGTAAATTTCCACGCGACCACCAGGGCGCGACATCACAAAATTACTTGCACAAAACATGAATAAACAATGACTATAAAGGTAATGAGGCAAGCTATGCGAAAATAGAAACATAATATCAAAAACTTACATATCGATTCCGCAACGCCGATGGCACGCACAACTAAAAATTTGATCGACGACGACAAAGAACGAACTACAACTAACGACACGGAGATAGGAAAACTGAAAAAAATTATGTGTAAACAGAAACCTTAAAGATCAAAGGGAAAAATCGAAGCCCAACTGTAACGCACAGTCACGCAACTACACCTTGATCTCGAAAGTTTACGAGAATCAAGAAGCAATTATCACGGGACAGTATAAACATGAACCTAACTAGTACACTGCACAAGCCACAGGGCCAAAGTGCATCTCCCAAAATGAAAACAGCATCAGCTTCAACATCAACAGTCTCACCAGCTGCCAAACTGTGTCCATCCATTATAAGTGCATCAAGCTCGGCCGTGTTTTCCTCTGTGAGTGCACATCCACGTCCAGCATTGAAAAGAGGGTTGTCTTCCATATTTCTGACAGCTGCTTCAACAGCATCTACTGCACTTCCACCCTGTATTGGATAAAAAATTTCACTTGACTTTCAACACTCGCCTCGCCAACACTTTCAACGCTCTTCATTTCATTTGCAATTGTTGACTTCCGCCAAGGTTGTTGAAGCGTCAGCCTCTACTCATGCCAGGGCTTCTCCCACCCAAACAATCAGACTAAAAAATCAAAAAGGTAGTAATACTTGGCAAAAGAAATACATTTTATATTGCTTGCGCTTACAATACCTATCATTTACTCCGCTCATGCATGTACTTGTGAGAAACAGTATGTTTTTGTTACCCATTTAAGGTCATGTGATAATACTCTAAAGAACTGCCTCTTTCAATTTGCTCTTATCTATAGGCATATGTATGCACAATTTGCCAGAGATAAAGCTAGAAATTCCCTTGAGACCCGAAATGGGTGGACAAAACATACCAGTTTACGAGGTCTATTGATTATAAAATGGCTAAGTAATTTTCCATAAATTCACCTCAAGAAGCACCGCATATCCTTTTCTAGCTGCAAGCTGAACACCCTGTTTGTAGGGTTCTTTGAAATCCTCAGGGATAGGCCTACAGCCGCCATGGATGATAATACACGGCTCCATGATTTTTAAGAAAATTTTTACAGACTGTCTCTGTAGGCATACATAATTTATTCGCAGGCCTTAGTCGTTCTTGTCTAGTGTCCCAGTGTCCGCCGCGTTAAACAGACTTGAGACGGAGCCCGCAATCACTAACAGCATGGTTGTTTGAATATATTTGTTTTCATGTAATAATTTATGTAGTGTCTTGAGTAACGGAAGCATAGTTTGGAAACAAATATGGCGCCGAGTATCGTTACTTGGACTATTACTTCCTTTCAGATAGTTCTCACTTGATTTTGCTACGAAAAATTTATAGCAATTTGTTATTCTCTTTTCCGGGTTCTCTTAAGTCAGAAACCATCACGCATGAGATAATTTGACATTTTTATCCTGATGATCTACAGTTAATTTTCGGAAATTTTGTTACAAAACCTCGGCGTGGTTGATATTGCGCTTTTCAAGTTCCCTGTGCAGCGTTTTAAAACCTGAAAGGAAGCAGACTATGCCGAAAGTGAGACTTGGTGCGTTCTATCATTGAAATTACGCGGACTTCATGGCAACAGGTATCAAAATATTTCATCAGATATTCATTTCAATTTAATAGGATGGGCTTAATGTGTCGAGCTTAATTTTTAAATACTTGTGGTATATTAGCTTACCTTAACAGCTATACTTTGCTAGCCTTGTGCCATTCTTGAAGTCCCTCTCCTTAACTTTACATGTAGTACCTGTTTATACTTGTATGTGTTGTTGATTAAAATTGACAGGTCAAAAGGACGTCAATCTGGGTTGATTTGTTTTTTTCTTGTTTAAGAATCATGATAATTTGTCTTAAACAATGGAAAGTACAAATACAACTAGAATCCTTGTCAGAAATCTTAAAACACTCCTGTTCCAGGTCCCCCTTCTTCCATTCAAATGTTGGTTTTTTAAAAGAACAGTGCATGCAGATTATAGAGCAGTGCTAGGGGAGCAGGGTATTTTAAGAAAACCACAGAGGGGTTGTAATTAAGGATCATTTTGACCTATGTTCACAAAGAACTAAAAAATATAGGTGAGCTTGTAAATTGTTACTCTTGGGCTTCTTTATTTGGGTGGGAACTGAAGTATTACGGGTGCCAAACCAATTAATCACATTTATAAAATGTCATATGCACTAAGCATCTATTTGAGTAACTGTGACAATCCTCCTCACATTTGGGCTGTTTCTGAAATGACAGATGAAGCACCAAGATCAGCTAAAAAGAAACATCGGAGAGCCAAGTCCAATCTTGAGTCACAGGTTTGTAATCAAAGACTGGTTTTTTTTTTTAATAGAATGAAACTTCAATGTGATGTGTAACAAGATAGGAAAACACTAAAACATTTAGAGATGAACTTAAGAGGAATAGAATGTAAAGGAATGGCATACAATACAAATAACAACTATGCAAATGTCAGAAAATATTTTTGATAGATATATACATGTATGCACTGTGACTAGCCCATTGGTGTGTACTTTTCTGAGTAGAAGTTTTCTTTTTTTTGGAAATTTGTGTTTTAATCAAATGGAAGCGTCTGCAAAGAGTGCAAATTATATTACTAGGTGTTGATTTTACATATTCCAGTTCAGTAGGGCACCAATAAATTCAAAACATCTGGTTTGCTCTGATTTTTTTCTTCATGCATGAGTTAAGGTGCCAACTTGTTGTGAATTATATTAGCCAATAAATACGTGTGTTTAGGAGGTAGAAGAATTCTCCAGCTGGTTAACAGAATTCTTAGTCTAAATTTTGATGCCCTGAGCTATTTTTTTATTCAGACCTGGAGAATATTACACTATTGTCCAGTGCTACTACATTCTAATGCTCATGCCATGAACATCAAATGCTATGTATACATTCCCAATAATTATTATTGAATGATAAAAGTGTCACTTTGGTTTTCTTTAAGGTAGCAAGGTCATTTATTTTTACATACTCATTTCTTTCTAACTTGTATCATAATTTTAACCTTACATGTTTTGTTTTAGAGAGAGGTTGGTGGATCAACAGATCAACGTAAGTGCATTGCATGTGATCTTTAGATATACATGTTCAATGATATGTATGAACATCAATGTACATAATCTCCTTACTGTTCTATACATTTCTCATGGAACTGGTAAGGAGAATTTGTTGAACACTCAAGAGCCTCTCTAGATGTTGATCATTTCCTTTATTCTCATGACCTTGATGTGTGACTCAACAGTGATACTTTAAGGAGAAATTATGGGTAGATGTTAGTTACTCTCAGGGATGAAAGAGTTAATGTGGAAATTAAACACCAATTGTAAGAAAAAGATAGTTTTATCTGTTACATTGTTATGCAAAATTTGAAAAAAGTAGCTTTTATTTTGAAATTATAAGTTTAAAATAATTTTTTGTTATGATTTATGACTGCAAGTTCAGAGGTGTATGGCACAAAAATTGTTTTTACTTAAATGCAAACTATTTTGGGAGATGGGAGTTTTCCAAAATTTTCAAAATTGAGATATACCTCCAGTTATATGAACATTGTACCTCTCTGCTCATGATAAACACCAATAGATTTGTGCCTGTATGTCAGGTTTTTGTCCATGCTGCATTTTTATGACTTCATCTTTTATTAGTAACTTAACAGACTCATTGTGCAGGTGG